TACACTCTCGTGGGGTGACAATCACGTGCAGCGGTGATACCGATGCCGCTTCAACCCTCTCACCTCTGCTGCGGGGCTTCGATGAATAATGAGGTAATGCCGAGAATAGTTCTACGTTTGCGAGGCTAGACGCCAGCGACCGTGAAGTTAGTAGCCCGAGACACGAGACGACTCATCAAGTCGCTGTATTTCCCTCGTCAACGATCCAAGGTATGGAGGATAGAGCATTGCACTGCATTTCGAGCGGAGATGAATTTGGCCGGGCATGGGCAAGGGCAACTGGAAGGTCGGAGAGGCTTCCTGCTTTCTCCCGCAGGCGAGGCGAGCTCCAAAATTGTTGACACTAACTGACATCCCCAGCTCCTCAACCTACCCATCCAACCCTTTTCCCCATTTAGGGCTATCGCGCACACGACCTTCATGTAAGAACGCATACGATCGCACACGGCAAGCAGGTCCGGCACCTCATTCCATACCGTATACCCGATCCAACCGGTATTTTTCAAATCCCAACATCACGACTCGATGCCACCATAACGAAATACCCTCTTCCAACCTCCTCTACTCGAGCCCTTCAAGATGGCCCGCGAGCCGAAAGCCCACACAAATAATTTGGTCTACGATATCTTCCTCTGGATCTTCACCGTCGTCGTAGACCTCTTCTTCCGCGAAATCCACCCCCGAAGCTCATGGAAAATTCCCAAGAAAGGCCCTGTCATCTTCGTCGCGGCGCCTCATGCCAACCAGTTCGTGGACCCGCTCATTCTCATGCGCGTGGTGCGACAGGATGCGCACAGGAGAATCGCGTTCTTGGTCGCGGAGAAGAGCATGCGGAGGAAGTTCATCGGGTTCGCTGCGAGTCTGGTAGGATCGGTGCCCGTGGGAAGAGCGCTGGATTTGAAGAAACCTGCTCCGGGCAAGATATACCTCCCAGATCCGGAGGGAAACCCTACCCTGATCAGAGGGAATGGTGTCAATTTCAAGAGCGAGCAGTTTCAGGTCGGTGGGCTGGTTGTGCTGCCGAGTGTGAACAACGCTGCGGCCAATGCCGAGATTGAAGAAATTGTGTCAGGGGATGAGCTGAGACTCAAGAAGCCGTTCAAGGGAGACGTAGCCTACAAGCAACTCACAGGGAAGCCGGTCGAGGAGAGTAATGGGGACCTAGCCAACGGTGATGCGGACCCTAAGAGCTTCGAGGGCACCAAATTCCAGGTCGCGCCTCATGTGGATCAGGGAAAGGTGTACGAGGCGGTATTTGAGAGGGTAAAGAGTGGAGGCTGTATTGGTATATTCCCTGAAGGAGGAAGCCATGACCGAACGGAGCTGCTCCCACTCAAGGCTGGTCTGGCCATTATGGCTCTAGGTGCGCTTGCTGAGGATCCAAACTGTGGCGTCACGGTTGTGCCGGTGGGCATGAACTATTTTCACGCACACAAATTCCGGTCAAGGGCTGTCATCGAGTTCGGATCACCCATCGAGATTGAGCCCCACCTCGTGGAGATGTACAAGCACGGAAGCAAGAGAGACGCAGTCGGCAAGGTCTTGCAGACTGTATACGACAGACTGTCTGCTGTTACTGTTCAAGCGCCCGACTACGATACCCTGATGCTCATCCAAGCCGTCAGGAGACTGTACAATCCCAAAGGAAAGAAGATGCCTCTGCCATTCGTAATCGAGCTCAACCGGCGACTGATCAAAGGCTACCAAACGTACAAGAACGATCCTCGGATAGTTCATCTTCGCAAAGAGGTGCTGGACTACAACAGACAGCTCTTCCAAATGAATATTCGGGATCACCAAATCTCATACGCTCAATACCCTTGGTACTGGGTTGTTTTCCTGCTGGTATACCGGACTTTGAAGTTGATGCTTCTGCTACTTGTTTCCCTCCCGGGTGCGATTTTGTTCTCGCCCGTGTTCATTCTGGGCAAGATCATCTCGAGACAGAAGGCGAAGGAGGCGCTTGCAGCATCTACAGTCAAAGTGAAGGCAAGAGACGTGGTGGCAACATGGAAGATCCTGGTGTCCTTGGCTCTCGCTCCAGCCTTGGACATATTCTACACCAGCATACTCGTCTCTTGGACATGGCACAACAGAATCAGGGGCTGGGTACCACAACTCCTGCCTCTGTGGCTCGTGGCATCCTGCGGTCTCTTCTTCTTCCCAGCTATCTGCTTCGGAGCCCTGAGATTTGGCGAGATTGGAATGGACATCTTCAAATCGCTACGGCCGCTGTTCATGTCCATCCACCCAACGCAAAGCAATACATTAGTCAAGTTGCGCAAGAAGCGCGCATGGCTGCAAGAGCGGATCAACGATATTATCAACGAGCTAGGACCCGAACTCTTCCCCGACTTTGACCAGAACCGCATCGTCAACGATCCGGAACATCCCCTCCACTCTCCATCACGCTCGAGACCGGGTACACCCACGCACCGCCGCGACGGCAGCGAAATCGACTCGTTGTCTTTCTCACCCGCTAGCCCCGTCGCACCCTCAGCCGCAAGTCACAATCTTCCTCGTAACGAGAGTTTCAAGAACATCAGCTCCATCGGTATCTTCGCAAGTCGTCCCGGTACTCCAAACCGCAGCCGAAGTCGGTCCAACAGCCACGATTTCCGTGGCGCAAGTTTCGGTATGACGAGCATCGATAGCACCGCAGCGCCTGCGGTGGGTGCAAAGGCAAATTTGGACGAAGTGAGCAAGAATTTGCACGAGGCCATGAGGGAACGAGGACGGCGAAGGAAGAGCGATGCGGAGTTTGAATTTGACCGCAGTAGTGAGCCGGAGGAGACGGAAGATTTTGAGCCGGAAGAGGCGAAGAAGGATATTTGAAGTGTTCCCTGCTACAGCCAAGATCCGTTCTTACTATTCGCGTGTGACGGCAAAGAATGGAATTGAAATGATTGTGATGAGAATGATCTTTCCTTTCTTTTTCCTTTCTTGGTCTGTAGATGTGGATTTTCAACAACTACATGTTGGGAGAAGAGGAAACCCTCTGCGTATCATTACAACAGTCTAGACCCTTAGACTCAGACTTTTCATCCCATAGAGACAAACATCCATATTATCTCCTTGTCCCGGAGCGTTCGCCGGTCAATCTACATGGCAAAGCTTCTCATGTGCTTCTACCTCGCTATTGGGCTTCGTAGATGGCGTATACCAATCTCCCTACATCAGCCTTGGAGAAATCACATCTCTAGTGCATAGGCGAGAATTCGATTTCGATGAAGCGTGCCTCCACTTCAGGCACCTGGTGACATTGGAGAGCGACGCCTTCTGGGAATAGCGCTGATTACTCGAGCGCGTTTCTCTTCGAGATCCCAGATGAGAGTGCGGAATCCTGCGAGGAAGAAGCTGTTCGAAGACGCCTTGCAGATTGATGCTCCGGAGAAGGTGGACGGACGCAACCCCGCCGTATCGAGGTAGTGCGCTATAGCCTTCAAAGCAATAATCATCGCAACAATGCAAGGTACAAGATCAAGTACCGCGAGAGTTTCCGGGAAGCTGCAGCATCGTCTGAATTCGAAAGGAGTCAAAAGCATATTATTGCTCCGCGGTGCTCACATGCCACGCCGCTGGTCGTTATGGCAGATGATCGGCATACTGGATAGAGGGTCGGTGTGGTGACGATTTCATGTGTCTTTGCCGGCAGGTGCGAAACCAGCCAGTCCTGGTCTTTGACCTCTTCGTCGCACGCTTCCGCACCACGAGGATAGTTCATCGCGTATTGATACGAAAGAGGAGGTAGGTTGCGCGAACGAATGGGCTCAAGCAGCAGCAGCAGCAGCAGCAGCAGCTCGTTTATTAGCAAGCCATCAAACTCACGTCTTGGTCGTTTCGAACCATTTGGATGAGCGTCGCATATAATGAGTGTGGCTAGTAGGTCAAATACCTCAGTGATGAGCACAGGTGTTGACGTCTTCGTGTCTCGTAACTTCCCGTGCTTAATACAGTAACTGTATGTAGTCGGCGGTGGATGTTCGGCCCACGCTCATCCTTGCACCCCATTAAGCCTCCACCGCTCGTACAGAGACAAATCGGAGTCTTTCCTGCTGCACACCCCTTGCATCTACTACCTCAGCCTGCAATCTTGGAAGTTGGCAACGGGCCACCACAACGGAATATCTCGCCAACAAGCGTTCACTTTTCATGCGAATTCCGTAGGCAACATTTATCTCGTTGCAGTATCTATGCTTCGTGTCTCTACTATTCCTTCTCGTCTCCTTTCCAACCTTATCCCACTAAGAAACAAGCCCTGGTCGGATCTCAAGAAGTTGATCACGAATCCCATGTCGAGACGGAGCGCCGTACGAGGGAATCCGCCGCAATCCTGGGACTCGGGATTAGTGTTCAGAAGACATTATTCATTGTCGGCCATGCGACGTAATATACATAGGACTCGCTAGCTCTCCCGGCAGCAATTCGTCTTTCCCCCAACTCCGCGCAATCACGGCCTCAATTTCCCAATTTCCCCCACAGCCTCTTGGGTTTCAATTCTAACGCAAACAACATTCAATGCGCAAAGAACCTCGACACCATTTGTGAGATATCTCCGGCGTCCTCGGGATACACCCAGAAGGCAAGGGCAATGATGATGTAAGTTCCTAGACACATGCAACCTTCGAGGTAGTTGCTCTTGCCGTCCTGGATAAGGTAGTTGACCACAAGCACACTGAGGAAGAACACCACGGTCTCGAATCCCTGGAAATTCAAGGTCATCTCCTGACCCATGATCCAGCCAAGAATGACCAGGAACGGAGTGACGAAGAGAGCGATTTGCATGGAACTGCCAATGGCAACACCAATAGCAAGGTCCATCTTGTCTTTGAAGGCCACGACAACCGCAGTGACGTGCTCGGCTGCATTGCCGACAATTGGCAGCAGGATCAGACCGATAAAGGTCTTGCTGATACCAGAGGAAGCGACAATGGAGTCGATGCTGTCAACCAGATACTCGGCGCAAACAGCTACAAGGACGGTGACCAGGATCAGGCAAACCGTGGCTGGGATAGGTCCCAAGATTTCTGGCTCCTTCTCCTCTCCCTCGCCCTCGCCATCGCCGCCCTCCTGGGCCTCTGCGTCGAAGAGACTGGCGTGAGTCTTCAGCTGGAAGAAGAGGTAGAGGCAGTACAGGATAAGCATGATGATGGCGGTACCACGGGACAAGATAAGGATGTTGCCCTCGGAATCCGCATCGCTTCTAGTAAGGGCCGCGTACATGGTTGCAGGGATGATCAGCGAGGTTGCTGCAACGGCCATGAGGGAAGACATGGTCGACGCAACAGTCTCGTTGAACCTGCTCTCGCCTCGACGGATACCAGAAGAGATGAAGCAACAGCCAAGGACCAGCAAGATGTTCGACAAGATCGAGCCAAGCATGCTAGCTTGGACAATGCGAATTTCTCCTTTGTTAAGGGCGACAACCGAGACCTAGAAAGCTGTCAGGGGCCATGACTTCTGACATGAGGCGCAAGATGCTTACGATGAGCTCCACAGCGTTGCCAAAGGTCGCATTCATGAGGCCTCCCACGGTCTGACCAAGCTTGACGCTAAGCTCTTCTGTCGCGAAACTCAGGAGCGCGGCTAGGGGAACGATGGCCAAGAAGTTCACGACGAAGACGGCAGTTGGGTTGGCGCCCAGAGCTCCCAGAACGATACCAGCCGGCACGCAAACCAACAACACGTTGACGTAGTTGCTTGCCAAAGTTGCCCACGTCAGGCGCGCAAAAGTTGAAGGTATCCGAACCCACGCGCGCTCGTCTTCTGCGTATGGCTTCCCATTCGAATTATGTGTGAGGCTGGGTACGGCCGACATATTGCCCAAGCTGCTCGAGGCGGTGGTGTTGAGCGGCGTGCGCTCATTAGGCTCTTCCTCCGCCCGCCGGCCATTGAGTCTCGAGTTGTCGCCGGTCATGTTGTCGGAGGACTGTTGTTGGTTGAAGTTGAAGCCGCTGCCGATGCGGCCGTGTTTGGAGAACTGGCGGCGGGACTTGTCTGTAGTGGTCGCAAGCAGGATTCGTCAGTCGGGATGGTTACACGAAATCACACGGCACGGTGCTACGAAGCGAAGTGCAGCATATAACAAAGAAGTCGGACTGCAATCTCGCCCGATAGCGGGTGAAGGCTGCGCCCGTGTAGCGGAAGGGTGATGTACGGGCGGTGTTTCTTGGCAGGAATCTTGGAATCGGGCGGATGAAGAGGTAATGGTCATCAGAGCAGAGCAGCAGAGAACCAGTGGTGATGGTCCCGCTGACACGTCTTGCTGCCAAGGAGCGAGGTGGTAGATAGTGGTAGTGAAATGATACTTACTCCAACCTTGCTCGCTCATTGTGCCGGGACTCGACTCTTCTCCCACAGCCCCCTGCTTCTGCTTATTAGCTATCCCCGCAGAAACAGTGAAGCTCCTCACGTGGTGTTTGTCCGGAACGCAGCCACGCGTGCAATTGACCAAGTCAGTATCCCAATGTCTTCTGGCGGTGCAGTCTCGGTGCGCCCACAACGCAGCAGTCCAGCTCTCCGCAAAAGGCGTTCAGGCTCAGTCGTGTGATGAGGGCAATAATACTTCCAAGCAATTGGAGGTGGAGGCGCAGCAGCAGGAGAAATGAGAGAGAGTCGACGTTGACGTTGGCGAGACACGACATGTCGGAAGCATCGGAAACAAGGTCGCACTAGCCCGGGGGCCAAGAGCCATGCGAGCCTACCACAGGAGCCCACTGAGTCACTGACGACGTACGCCAAGAGCCAAGAGCACAGCCAGCTTCACTGATCAAGGTCTCTCTTCCACTTCCAAGTCAGCGTCACCGTCGCAGGTGAAAGAAGGCCTTAGAGAGGAGCAAGATGACGCGGAAATCCGGTCACGCCCTCACGCTGCTGCTTCGCTGTGGCAGACTACTCCCACGTGCCAATATCACACAGCATCCATCACGAGGAAAAAGTTGAGATCCGGGCTCGGCGAGAAACGATGTTAGGGAGCAGCGGCTAAGAGTGCAGTGAAAGTGAATTGGACGGTGATGATAGCGGTACTGGTTATTGATTGAGGCTCTTTGCATTTCTACTGACATGGTCCGCTCATCTGCCGCTAGCTAGACATGACATACCGGCCTAATCCGGCGTGCTTCTCGTCATCACTGTATCCCTCATCTTCGCCGCAAAACAAGAATAATTCCTCCCAGGTATGTGGTATCCAGAATACTGTAAACGCCGGTCCACTCCAAAAACGCCATGTACATCATTCATCAAGGAAGCATGCCACCGTTTCAGTCATGATCATAAGCGATTTGAAGTCGTACTGCCTTCAATCGCATGTCCATCACGTCCAGCTTCGCCCGGCAGGCTGACTCGTCTTGATCCAGCGCCATAGACGAGTTCCATCATCTTGCGTTTCTGACCGTCTCTGCTGCTCTTCAGCTGCTGGTAAGTCGTCTCGAGACCCCGAATCTGGTCATCGATGGTGAGGGTGCTAGAATTGCTCGACCGCACGAGCGGGCTGACAAGCTTTCGTCGAAGCACCTCGAGGTTCTCCTTCAATTGTCGTAGTCGCTGGTTGTGGTCAACGAGAATGTGCTTGTTACGCACCGTCCGGTCCCGCACCGAGCGTAGGAGGTCCTTGTTCTTCTCATACTTGCGCAGCTTGGACGCGTTGACGCCAATCAACTTGGTCCAGAGGCTGCCAAGGAAGTCATTTTCCATCACTTCTTGTTGGTCCTGCTCACGGATTACTGTGCGTTGAAGGTTGAGGAACTGTTTGTCGATGGCCTCGAACAGTTGAAAGAGTTGGATCGAGTACGTGAGCTCATTGTTAATGCTCTCTTCCAACACAGACAGGAATTCGTAAAAGGTGCGTTCCAACGTCGCCTTCGTGCGTTGCTGGTAGGTCTGGCCGATGAGTTCTTGTACAATCTTGTTATCGCCGATAAGCCCGACCCGCGTCAACATGGTATGCGCATTAGACCACGCCGAGCTGATGGTGCTTGGTGGGTCGCTCGAAATGGTCGTCAGTTCTCGTTGCGCCCATTCCATGACGATCAAAATGGAATCGATGTCTGCGTCTACTCCGGCAAAGAATCTTGTAAGCTCGATGGCCAAGGTCTTCAGGCTGTCGGAAAGATCATCCAGTTGTCGCACAATCAGGGGCGCGGAAGTCATGTTGGTACTTCGAACGCTCTCGCCCAGGTCCCACACAGCGACCCCGGTCGCCTGCAATTGTTCGATCTGCGCATGGCCATGTTCCGAATAATAGATTACAGGTTCGAAAGACTTCGCAAGCCCCGCCACTTTGATCAGATCCGGCGACGGACCGTTTGGCGGAGCTGAGAATATGTTCGCCAGGAACCAGTACACGAAGAGCGTTGTGATTGCGTAGAAGAATGTGTTATACGTTGAAGAGGTAACATGCCGTATTGCTTTTCGAACGCTGGTGACCGCGGCTTCGATCGGTTCGGTTCGCTGCACGACATCTAATGATGTAGAGAACCGGATATCTAGCGCTGACGTTAGTACTTGACGTGGGAAACGAGGGAAACGATATGCGCAACACCTACAGTTACTCTGCGTCGGTGTCCGCAATGTCGGTGACTCAGGCTCCTCTTCCCCTTCGTCGGGCTGCTCGCTCACATGTCGCACTGTTGTGTGTGTACTACTATCTCTTGCGCCGGCCTTGTTGGTGTCAGCTACCACCGCCGCAGCCTCCTGCTCTGGGCTCACGCTTGGACTGCGACCCTTGACGGGCGACTCAGGCAACGGAATGCGCCTGGCAGTCCGATATGCGGTCACATCGCCATCTTCTCCATCTTCGTCTGCGCTGTGGTACTGCGGGCTCGGATCTTTGCTGTTGTAGCCGTTTCGATTTGGCGACCGTGCCTGCTGATGCTTGAACCAGCCGCTCCCCGCCTTGCGCCATGCTGGAGGCGAGTAACTGCGCCGTATCGAGCTCGATTCGCTGTACTCTGAGTTCTGGGCGCTGCGGAAGCCCGAGTGTTGCGACGGCATGTCGGGGATGGTGGGTGAGAACTCGCGCGCCTCGAAATCTTCCATGGACTGGTTGAGACTGGGGTGGGAGTCCAGCCAGTGCTGTCGTGAAGTGGTCATGTCCGCGGAGCCTATCATTCGGATTGTGTTGTCTGCGGCCTGTCTGGCCGCGCGGGCGTGAAGTGCCTATATGGAATTGAGGGGTGGGGCGGTGATTGCCAGACAGTGTGATGTCTTGGTCGACGTCGGCAGTGAGTCGAATGTCTCGTGAACTAAGGGAGCCAGTTGCGCGCGATAAGTGCGTGTCGCATCCGTTCTTGTCTCGCACGCGTGTCTAGCGCATGACTTTCGTGATTGCTGGATGAAGCTCGGAATAGAAGAGTGTTGCCTACCGGAGTGAGGGCGAAACAATGTGTGAATGCGCAGGTACGGCGGTGTCTACAGAGGAGCTGCAGCGGTACTCATGCCGCATGTGGTTGTGAGGGAGCGGTGATCGTGGGTGATAGTCGATGGCTGGGGTGCTGCGGGATTGCGCAAGGGTGTGATGCTTGTCTGCAAAGTGCTGGAGCGCGCTCGTCCACTCGTTGCCTCCTGCGCCTGCTGCACGCACGGGAACTAAATCTCCGGCACGAAGGCATGAACTCTGTGCGACTCTTCATCAGGACAAGCTGCAAACGCATTTTGAAGTGAGAAACGGACACCTTCCTACAGAGAGAAGTTCAAGATCTCTGGGTGCTGCCTGCCTACGCTGTGTACGGGTGCATGCTACACCATGAACTGCCCAGACGAGGCTAGTGCCTTCGCTCGAGCCTCTCCACGATCCCCTCGGGCCTCGGCTGTCGTTGCCGATGGGCCGATGCCGAACATTCACTTCACGTAGGGTCCCTCCCTTCCCTTGCCCGACCTCTGCCAGGACCTTGCCTGAGACTTCGCCTTAGATATGAGGCGCCTGGCGTTGTTAATTTCCCAAGTGAACTCTTTCCTGTTGCAATGGGGATTGGCTCGATCGGCCAGCCAGCTTTCCAGTAGGATGCTTGTGTCACTTCGATCGGAACGGCATGTCCCGCCCGACGAACGAACTCGAATCAGCTGCGGTGTCCGGCGACTTGAGATGCTCAACAAGACTCATATGACCTCAGACGAAGGCAATGCCTTCTGCCAACGCCCGACTCGTCCGGAGCAGCTCGCCAGACATGACGGCGTGAGACTGAACGTAGCATTCGCACAATAGTTGGTATGCTCTTCGTTTCGTATCATCTTCTGGACGCGGCCGCATGATGACAGGGACATCGCCACCTAGAAGGATTCCCACTTCATCGCCAGTAGAGATTCCAGGTGTAGCAAGACCAGTGTAGCCTTTCGCTGTCGTGAAGAAGTGTCGCCCAAACCGCAAGGTGGGCAACTCAGACATCCTCCCGCTGCTCTGAATAGGGGACGAAGAAAGCTCCTGACTCGAGCCTGATGTTGGAGCTGGTATCATTTCGTTGGTCAGCACAATGGTATCGACAATCAATGCCGATATCCTCAGCCGGTGCATGCCACCGCTGCTTTCTTTGACCTCAAAATCTTCGAGATTGCTTCCGCCAGCGCGATGTTCGGTGCGTATGCCAGTCGTCCATTCATCTTTCCCAGACCCAGTCACGAAGTGCGGTGTGGCATTGCACCAAATCGGGGCTAAATGCCACGCGAAAGTCCAGTCAGGGACCCAGGAAGGTAGTTTGCAATGTTGATGTAGCTTTCCCGCACTATACAAAATGCTCATAAGCTGAAAGGCCTTCCGCTTCGGAGTGAGGTCATGCCACGATTCGTAGGAGGCCTCCCACTGGACACTAGATATATACATGTGGACGATATCTACGAACAGCCTCTCTAGGGTGGTCGAGTAGTCAGGAAATGTCCTCAAATGTGTGATACCATAGAAGGCATAGATCTTGTCGCGGGAATCGGTTGCTTTGCTACTTTTCCCGAGGATGAGGAGCTGAGTTATGTCCGTATGGGCAAGTCCTTCCTTCTGACTTGAGATCATTTGTGTGATGATTGCAACGCGCTGGCGAGGATTGCCTAGGAGCGAGACTTGCTTGTTGAAGCCACATGTTGACCGCGGCCGCACATCTCGGATCAGACGTACAAGAGCATCCCATGTCATATAGGACAGGCCGCAGACGACCGTTGTGTATCTGGACAATGCCACCTGCCACCCAAAGAAGCGCTAGGTCAGCCAATGTTGCAGGTGTGGTCATGTATTAAGAGGGGGCCGAGGGCTTAGAATCAAGTGAGGGGAATGGCGCCTGCATTCTCGTACCTCTGGAATCACCCACACTCTCGAAAACCACGGGCGTTGCAGCAGATCTTGAATCGCTTTCTGCAATTCTCTGTTCGCGAGGATCTTATTTAACGCGCTCTTCGGACTGTTTTCCACCCCGCGACGTACTCTTTTTGCAGCCGCGAAAAGTTTCTCTGTCTGCGTGTCACCTTCTCCCAGCCAGACGTAGATCTTGTGCGCTTGATTGAAGATGTGTTTCATGATGCTGACCTGGCGCGCACGCTCGTCGAGATCTTCTTGGTTGATGCAGACTTGATCGATCCAGATCAGAACAGGCGTACGCGGCTTCCGCAAGCTCTGAAGAGCTTTCAGCAGATTCTTCGTGACTAGAAATCGGAAGCCATCGAGCATGATCGCGGCCTCCCGATTCACGGATTCCCATGCGTAGCTCAAACATTTATACGCTCTCTGAGGCTGCCTGACATCGTCCGATACAAGCTGGCATTCGATTGGACTTGTTCCAGTGCCAGGCTGAAGGACAGCGAGTCGAAAAGTGTTTCCATCCGCGATTGGAGAGTAGGAAAAGTCTTCTGCATTCTCTATCAAGCCCATACTTTCGCGCGCTCGTCTCCTTCTGCGCGATGCGCCAGGGTCTGGAGTCGCGGCAAAGGGAGGTCCATCATCTTCATATTCTTGGTCGGAGTAGCCGGTAGGTTCCAGGGTCAACGAGGAGAGCGAGAAGCGAGGGTCTGTAATGGATGGAGACGTTGGCTCATCATCAGAGTCCAGGAGCCGGGGTGACGCGCTGATTGTACTAGCTGATGAGTCCATGGCGCAATTTCATTCCATGAGTCCGTTCTTTTGCTAGTGGGCGAAGTTACATCTTTCTCAGCACCGTGATGTTGTTTGGATGGTCTCCAATCGTGTTTCGACGCGCATTGTCCAGCGAAGATTCGAGCAACAGAAGTGTCTACCTCAGGTGAAGTGGGTTTACACAGCCTCAGGCCATGGAAGCCATCGAGGCTGAGGTTCACATTCTGCTGCCAGTAGTCGTGAATGGGTGGCGCTTGGCGAGATACGTCCAATCAGCCACAAACCATGAGTTATGAGACCGATCAACGCGACCGACGGAACACAAGGGTCGGTGCTAATGTCAGCACGACGAACTGATGGCACGAGAGGGATTTGAGGTGAAGTTCAAGACGATGGTTCTCTCATACAGTCTTCCAAGTTCTCTTGACCCACGACTTCTCGAATGCAATCTTGCAGGCGCTAAGCCTAGTCTAGATTCTCGCCGCATCAAGGCAGCTCTATGATAGACTTCGGCTTGAAAGATGTCCCGATCCCGATCCCGATGTGATGAGGCTCTTCTCTTTCACTCGGATGCTACACCAGGTCATGCAAGGAAGAAGGGGTGAGTGACAGGCAAGTGCATGGTATGCGATGTCCGCGATCATCCCATGGTATGCGACCTCCGCGGTCATCCTCAGCCAGCGGGACGTCGGTGGATGAAGAGTCGGGAGTGCCGTGTCTGATACGCACTTATGCAACGGTGAATTGATACGAGCAGAGGTGAGGTTGTGGTCAGGGAGTGCACAGTGCGGTGGATGACATGTCACCTGGGGATGACATGTCACATGTGGATGGGGCACAGGAGCACAGAGGAAGCTCAGGAAGGCGTCGAGCGTTGCGCCCTCACGTGGCTGCCAACCCGAGAGTGTGGATGATATCGTATGACATGCGATGCGGAGGGCGATGAGGAGGGTACATGTAGAGCCGAGAGTAGTACATGTCGATGTCTTGTACAGCGCTGCGGAGGGCGATGAGGAAGAGCAGCCGCCTCAGGAAGGGGCGGGAGCACAGGCAACGGAACGGGATGCGCCGATGCGGCGGCCATGAGGTCAGCCCCTTCGCTTGTGGTCCCATTTGGGAAGTGTCCACGGGCTCCCCAACGTCGTTTCCCCGACGCGGCCGCGATTAGACTTTATATAGTAACGGCGCATGTGTTTGCCGAAGATCACCACAGTGATACATCCGATCTGGATTCCACTCGCGATCCGTTTGCACCATCTCCTCTACTACTTCTACACCAACCGTCCGCCCGCCCGCGACTCCCGACGCTCTCATATATCACTTTCTCCCCGTCCTCACTTTCTTCCTCACACCCAAATCCACCCCTTCCTGCCACCTCGACTGCCCTCGACCACTCGGCGCCTGTACTCGACAGACCCGTGTGCTGTGCTGGGCTGGGCAGATCTCGCGTGTCTCGCTATCCCGGCTTCCTTCGCGTCCAGAGCTTGCATGGGGTATCCCGGCCACACGCAAGTCGTCTCTAGAGCCTCTCCTCACCTCAACCCAGTAATTTCCCGGCACCGTCGTCACCGCGAGCATGACTTCCGGTCTCGTCGTCTCCCAGCGCAAGCGCGCCTTATCACAGCGCTTGCACCTCCCGAACATCTCGACTGTCTTCCCAGACATCTCTTCAATGATTGACGGGTTGGCAAACAGTCTCTCGGCGACCACCATCCCGCTCTCGGATCCCGATGCCGGCGAGGTCAGCTGCTGGCTTCTGGACACCCGGTCACTATGGCCTGGTCAGAACATATGGAGTGCCTCCGGTGCTGCCGAGGCCATGAGCCTCATCTCCTTGGCAGAGCAGAAGACCATCTCGACCAAGATGTTCATACAAGACGCGAAGATGAGCTTGGGCAGTGCTTTGCTGAAGCGGCTGTTCATTTCCAAAACTTTGGACATCCCATGGAAAGACGTAGGGCTGGCAAGGAAAGGAGACCAGAAACATGGGAAGCCATGTGCTGTCGATGTGGTTGGCCGGCCGATCGAGGGCATTGACTTCAACGTCTCCCACCAGGCAGGGCTCGTTGCACTCATTGGATGGAATGGCAAGAAGCGGCATAAGTACAACCCGAATGGCAGCATCGAAGGCTACATCAGCCCTAGTGCCAACTACGAGCCCGATGTCATGGTCGGCGTCGATATCGTATGCGTGAATGAACGCGACGACTACCGAACGATCGACGCTGAAGGTCTAGATGGTTGGGTCGACATCTATGATTTCGTGTTCAGCGATGAGGAACGATGGAGCATGAAGTACGACGTGGACTACATCACACTACTGGACGGAACAATTCTGAGCCGCGACGAACTTGGAAGACACGACCGGTGTATTACGCGCAACAAGCCAATTGCCCTGACAACTCCCTCTGGCAAGGAGGTCATGTTCAACTCTGATGTCCTGGTCGATGCCAAGCTTCGCAGGTTCTACACATACTTCTGCTACAAGGAGGCATACATCAAGCTGGCCGGTGAAGCTCTGCTAGCACCCTGGCTCAAGCAACTCGAATTCTTCAACGTAAGAAGTCCGAAGCCTGGCACTGCCGCGCGCTGCAGCACACACGGTCAGTGGGGCGAAGAAGTGGACGACGTGGAAGTGCACATGAACGGCACAGAGGTAGATGACGTTCGGATGAAGATCCAGTCTTACGAGGAGGACTTTATGATTTCGACAGCGATCCAAGGCGAGATTAAGAACCTGAAGGTGCCTGCGTTCCAGAAGCTGGACCTTCGAAGCGACGTTCTGGCATATGCTCACAAGCATCTGACCACCTCACCGTCGGATTACAGGTGAGCCTTCTGTCCAAGGGGCGCTGATGACCGTCCACTAGACGGCCTTTTCCAACCATCACGGAGGCTGACGAACTGTAAGTCGCAGCCTCTCAAGGCTCTGAACGACACTGTCTACGACCATGACCGCAGCAAGTCTTACGAGCCAAGGATCGCTCACAACGAATTGCTCGAAACCAAGTGAGAAGTTTCACAGCCCGGAATCGGGAAATATACAGAACCGCGATGCGCAGGATGGAAACCGTTCTGCTTCTTCGCCAAAGCGTTGACACTAGCGGGAACGAAGACAACGCTTTGGAACAACTATCAATAAAGACTAACTCGAAAGCACCGGCATTCTGGTGCACAGTGGCTTGCGTCCTACGACAAATACCTTTGGGCGCCCTCGTCTTCGCCATCTTGTGGGTTGTGCGTTGGGAGGTCGTCAGAAATTGAGCCTGCCACCATCCAGAGATGAAAGACCGCCGAGATGAACGTACGGGGGTTGCGCAGGGTCCTACTCGGGTTCGGAAGTTGGGTCGGGAGACCTCGAGACCACCATCCCCCATCACCGGGGTTTCTTTTCTTTGTTCTGCGGGGATTGAGCGAAGGAGTTTCGGGCTGTTTCGGAAGTGATATAGGAGAGCAAGAATTTTAGAGGTGTGATGGGGTGAAATGAACAGGGTTTCATATCTGGATTGGCGTGGTTTCGTCACGACAGCTTTTCCTGTAACAGATCTTTCTCTACGTACCATGCATGATATTTACGAGTCCGAGATTCTCGGACACCGATAGAAGATACACTAGCAAGTTGAAATGGTCGATTCCAACGATGGATAATTTCTCATAATTTCTGCTCCTATGATGATTCATTCTTAGTATTATTGCCCGTGCCCCTCATCACTCCAAGTCATGTCCGATGTGTGTGTGTGTGTGTGTGTGTGTGTGTGTGTGTGTGTGTGTGAGATGCGAGGCGTCGAAAGTGCTACAAACAACAGCAGCGATAGACTTGATTCCATGGGTCTGCTCCTCCGCAGGTGTCAAAAATATACTGCTGTGAAACCTCTACTGGGGCGGGAGAGCTGTTGCCGAGCGAGCCGTGTGTTTCTGCGGATAAATCGGCCCCTCAAGCAAGGAACAACAAGTCGATCTCGGAAGTATGTGGTCGTTCGTATGCATACCCGTGGCGAGCTCTATAGATGGAGCAAAAGGACTCGGGCATCTCATTGGCCGGAAGGCGTTCTGGAGTGTCTAATTTGTAACAAGAGGGATGGAGTGGAGTCCGGTCGTTGCATTGTTCGTTAAAAATGATATCCTGATTGCATGCTTGCAATGCTAGTCTTGGCTTAGGGGGAAAGGGGGGGACATGTGACTATGTCGGAGTGAGTATTTGGATGCGTCTTTTTGCAATGCTTCAGAGAGTCACACTGACCAACACTACTGCGGCCGAGCAATCCATCATCTCGCTTTCCACATAGCTAGCGCCGATATCCTTTCAACCGGTCGATGCCTGTTCAAACAGCCCAAAATCTGCCGTGGATAGCTGAGAAAAGCCCACCTTGCCAACGTCACCGTTTCCATCCACTTCAAGATGCGGAGAAGGCAAAGGCATCACTCAGGAGCTCCCTGCCGTCGACTCAATTGTCTCATTTGCGAGGCCATCCGCCGTACTCGGTGAGTCCGGAAAGAATGCGTTCCGACGATGTCGTTGAGCACGTGGTCCACAGCCGGCAGTCCAGGAGTTTCGGTACCGGGCATTGTGGGAAGTGGATGCGCAAAGAGCCATCCTTGGCTATCTCTCTGCTTTACCGTCTTCCTCCTTGGTGTACAACTTCGTTGTGTACGACCAGGCAGAGACATGTAAGCCAGCTAGGTTGCTCGCAGCTTCGTTTCTGGGATCCACGACAGCGTGATGCTTCGGCTGACATTCTTCAGTAGTAAACGTCGTCATTTGCATCCCACGGCTGTTATGGCGTTGGACTGGTCGTTTCAGATGCTCAGACGCGTGGAAGAGTCCCTGATAAGTATTCCACCCTTCGCCTCCAAGCACCCGAATTCTTTGGATGTCCTTGGGTTCGCAGTTCAGCTTTCAGCCTGAGGGTGTTGTCATAGAATCTGCGTCCGACAGCCCTTCATGATGCCAAGGAAGCAATTGAGTTGGAGGTGATTGAAATGGTTGTAATGCCCAAGCTGGGTATCTGGAGCGGATACGTCTCCGGGCCCTGCACCATTGCGTCTGTCTTCTTTGGAGTCGCATGCGGTGTGCCCAGTATACAAGCAAGAGTCCGGCAAAGACGAGGGATGCGCCGATTAGCCAGACAGAGAATTCCTTCCGGTCTTTGAAGTGCCCGAGGCGCGGCAAGCTGATTCCGTTCCAAAAGCTCGCGATTCGATCGTTCATGTTGGGCCGTCACTTTTCCATTTGTTGTTAAGGATATCCTGTCCAAAGTGATGGCTTTCTCTTCCGGTTCTCTCACAGTGATTCGGCAGCAAGTTTGGGAAGGCATCAGCAGTCGTGTCGACGGGCCCGGCAGGAAGCGGCTTCTAATAAGCAAGTAGTGCCTTCGCAAAGGATTACATGTTTCATGAGACAGCAACTGCGGCGGTCAGCAGTACGACAGGACCCTGTGCGAGGATACCTTAGGTCTTGGTAAGAGTTAAAAAGGGAAACAGTCAGCCGCAGTGGCCCCACGGGGAGTGTCAGAGCTGGCTGCGAGTGCGGCAATCGCAGTATGATATCTTCTGGCATAGCTCAGCTCCTCCGATCCAGCCAGCCTCCTCTTCCTTGGACAATTTCCACACCTCTTAGCGATTCTCCTTCAGCGATGAAGAAAATCAGTACAGCGTGATGGTGGGATAGCTCTTCCTTTGGCGGCCGTGGAGGTGCCAGGAAGCCTGTCCGTGGGGTCCCCTAGAGCCTTGGCCGGTGCTGGACCGAAATTCAGAGGATTACTGCCGTCGGATTCTGATGCAAATGCGAGGCGTCAGTTGGAGGCAGCGGAGCGGATGATAAGAAATCCCTGCCGTTCGGCGATGACGATTGCAACAAGTCGTTAGGCACGCATCCATCCATTGCGACTCAGCGCAGTAGTCGGCAGTACAGTCGGGCCTTCGCTCGAACAGGCTGCACTGGGTAAGAAGAGCTCATGTCCACGGATAGGCTGAGCAGAGGGGAGATGTTGGTGAATGGAGGTAGAGGAGAGGAGAGGAGAGGAGAGGAGAGGAGAGGCTTTCATATGCAGATGTCGCATTATTGCAGATGTGGCATTGCAGATGGGGCAGAAAAAGGCAAAGGCAGACCCCACTCTGCACGACCGCTGCTCCTCCCTGCGCTGCCGTGACTCGGCACAGCTTTCAAAGCGAGCTAGAAATTATATTCCACCTCACGCGACACATCCCACTCCACTTGCCCAATCCCCTCCCACACCATCACGCTACTCGCCGCCATCCTACCGTTCACACTCATCAGAATCGACCGCGAGCATATCCCTCTCCGCCGACCAATTCCTCCCCAAACCAATTGGCTCGACCGTCGACCGCCCGCCATGTCCGTGTTGCAAGAAGGCCGAGTCAAGAGCGTACTTTCCGGCGACACGTTGATCCTCCAGAACCCAGCAGGTCAGGAGCGCACTCTGAGCCTCGCCTTCGTCAACGCTCCCCGCCTTCAAGCCGATGAGCCTTGTAGCTTCCAATCCCGCGAGTCCATAAGGAAGCTCACCGTGGGACAAATAGTACGATTCGCGGTATACTACACTATCACTCAGAAGCCGGGAACTCCACCGCGCGATTATGGCATCGTCATGCTGCCAGGTGGGCAGAAGCTACCCGATCAAATCGTGGAAGAAGGCTGGGCCAAGATCCGTGACGACGCAGAACGCAAGGCAGAGACGCCCCAGACCACGGAATTGCTTGAGAGGCTCGCGGCGCTCGAGGCACACGCAAAGGCGGATGAGAAGGGAATGTGGGCAGCAAAGCCTGTAGCGGTGCAGAACATCCGCGAGGTCCCCGATCCAAGAGCCTTCGCCGAGGAGCACAAGGGAGTCGCCATTGACACGATAGTCGAGAGGGTTCTGAGCGGAGATCGCCTGATATGCAGACTCATGGTCACACCAACGCAGCATGTGCAGACCACAGTGCTCGTTGCCGGTATTCGAGCTCCCACCACCGCGAGGACGAATCCTTCAGACGGCTCTACACAGCCAGCCGAACCATTCGGAGACGAAGCGCAGAAATTCGTCGAGGCTCGAATCCTTCAACGTGGAGTGAAGACTAGGATACTCGGCGTCTCTCCCAACAACCTACTTGTTGGAGAGGTACTACATCCGCTTGAGAACAAAAACATCGCAGTGTTCCTACTTCAGCAAGGCCTTGCAAGATGCGTCGACCACCACTCGACATGGCTCGGCGCAGAGATGGGAAAGCTGCGTCAGGCTGAGCGGCTCGCCAAGGAGAAGCAACTGAAGCTATTCGAGAACAACGCTAAGAGCAATACGAAGAGCAGTGAACTGGAAGCTACCGTGAGTAGGGTGACCTCTGCGGATACCCTTTTCATCCGAAACAAGGCTGGCCAAGAGAAACGAATCAACTTGAGCAGTGTCAGACAACCAAAGCCTTCGGATCCCAAGCAGTCGCCATTCGGGGCTGAGGCCAAGGAATTCTTGCGAAAGCGAATCATTGGAAAGCATGTCAAGGTCACGATCGACGGCAAGCGACCTGCAACGGAAGGCTACGACGAGCGTGAAATGGCCACGGTCTCCATCAACAGCAAGAACGTCGGCTTACTGCTAGTCGAGAATGGCTACGCGTCCGTCATCCGCCACCGTATGGACGACACTGACCGTAGCCCCGTCTATGACGAGCTTCTTGCTGCGGAAGAGGCTGCTCAGCAAGAGCAGAAAGGAATGTGGAACCCGAAGCCGCCGAAAGTGCAACAGTACGTTGACTACAGCGAGTCTCTGGAGAAGGCAAAGCGACAACTCACTATGCTTTCTCGGCAGAAGAAGGTTCCCGCCGTTGTTGATTTCGTCAAGTCTGGCAGCCGCTTTACTGTACTCGTGCCCCGCGAGAACGCCAGGCTGACTTTCGTCTTGGGAGGAATTCGAGCACCGCGCAGCGCGAGAGGCACTCAAGACACCGCAGAGCCATTCGGCCAAGAGGCGCACGACTTCGCTGTCAAGAGATGCATGCAGCGCGATGTGGAGATCGACGTCGAAGACACCGACAAGCAGGGTGGATTTATCGGCCAGCTATACGTCAATCGCGAGAGCTTTGCCAAGATACTAGTCGAAGAGGGACTAGCATCTGTCCATGCCTACAGTGCCGAGAAGTCTGGCAACGCGAACGAGCTGTTCAATGCTGAGCAGAAGGCAAAGGAGGCCCGCCGTAACCTGTGGCAGGACTGGGATCCTTCACAAGACCAAGAAGCAGACGGTGGCGCCGAATACGTCGACGTTCCAGTTAACGGCGCGAATGGAGCAGCAGCAATTCCTCCTCGCGAGCGCAACTACAAGGACGTAACTGTTTCCTATATCGACCCACAGACCGGTCGTCTCAAGTTGCAAATGCTCGGATCGAGCAAAGTCAATCTCGATACTCTCATGAAGGAATTTGCGTCTTTCCATATCTCGCCAGGTAACAGCCAGCCACTTCCTCAGCCACCAAAGGTTGGCGACATCGTGTCTGCCAAGTTCTCTCAGGACGGCGTCTGGTACCGTGCACGCGTTCGACGCAACGATCGCGATAACAAGACCAGCGATATCGTATACATGGATTACGGTAACACGGAGACTCATCCTTGGAGTGCGCTCCGTCCACTCGACCAAGGAAAATTCGGTCCTCAGCGCTTGAAGGCGCAAGCTGTCGATGCTGCGCTGTCTTTCCTCCAATTCCCAACCAGCCCAGAGTATCTTGCGGACGCCGTTGATATGCTCAGCGAGATTACTATTGAGCGTGAGTGGGTCGCTAACATCGACTACACTGACGCCAAGGAGAATCTGCTGTGGGTGACGCTGATGAATCCCGAGGCCAAGGGACAGGACGACAGCGTCAATGCTCAGGTAGCCACCGAGGGACTTGCCATGGTGCCGAAGAAGTTGCGGCCATTTGAGAGAGCGGCGCCGGATGTCGTTGCCGATTTGAAGAAACGTGAGGCTGAGGCCAAGAAAGAGAGGAGAGGTATGTGGGAGTACGGTGACTTGACGGAGGATTAGAGAGCATGCCTTGCCATGCTTGGAGACGTGTGCTGCATTGGACATGGCCGGGCGGGTCAAACGGGTTTGGCAAAAGTGGCCTTTGGGCATGTAAAATAGACCTGCAATCGCGGCGAGCGAGCGGGACAAAAGTAAGAGCAAAGGGGCATTGGGCAGCGGGCAAGCTGCAAATCAAAAGCATCAAACTACCATAGCGTGCATTGAAAGAAAAAAAATGCATAACGTAACGTAACGTGTATTGCCTCTTCAACCCTCTCCTCTCTCGTGTACCCTCCGCCTTTCCCCTCCCATCTATCCCGTCAACAAATGCCCTCCACTAGTAGAAATCATCGCCCCGGAGACATTCCTATCCCTCATGCAATACAAGTACGCCTCGGCAACATCCTCCACCTGTCCCACCTTCCCCACGGGAATCTTCTTTTCCATCTCCTTGAAAAACTCCGCCTTCTGCCCCGCACTCATATGGCTCCAGAGCTCCGTATCCACGGCTCCGGGGGAAACCAAATTCACCCGTATCGGAGCCAGATCCAACGCCAGCCCGCGCGTCATGCCCTGCAGGCCCGTCGCGTAGCTATTCACGACCGTCCAATTCGGAATCGGCCGCTCGGAGACGGCGCCGGTCGTCAGGGTGATGGAAGCCTTGGGACCGGGGGCGAGGAATTTGGGCGCATGTTTGGCCAAAAACAGCGGGGCGAAGAAACGGATCTGGCCGGCTGCGTAGACGGTGTCCATGGATAGCTCTTCGAGTTTGAGAACGGCGAGGGAGTCGCCGGCGGTGTGGATGATGTGGTCGATCTTGCCTGCTTGGGAAGTTCTATCTAGCAGGAGGAGGAGGTTGGTTTCGAGGTTGGCCGGGTCGGAGAGGTCGCATGCGTGGCCTTGGATGTTGGTTTGGAAGGACGGGTAGGTGGTTTGGAGTTTGGTGATTGCTCTCTGGATGCGATCTGGGTTGGAGGAGGAGATTGTCACGTGGCAGCCGTTTTCGAGACAGGCTTCTGCTGCGGCGTAGCCGATGCCTGTGGTGGTTTGGTAAGTGGGGGATGTTAAGTTTTGGAGTGGTGAAATTCTGGGACGTTTTTTGAATCTGCTGCGTTGGAGAACTTACCTGCCGAGCCGCCGACAACGAGGACTCTGTCGCCCTTGATTTTGTTGGTGTATTTCAGTTGGTCTGCCATTGTTTCTGGTATGTTGTCAAGGGTGGCCGATGGCTCAAGTGACCGAGTCTCAGCGTCTCCTTTCGAAGCCTCTTCTAGACAACGTCGTAGAGGAAGATATGATCAGCTTCTTCTTAATGGTATATAGACAAGCATAGACAGGCAATTGTTAGATATTTGCATGTCGTGTGTTTAAGTCCTGAAGTCAATGCCTTGGGAAAAGAAGTGAGGTCACTCACCCGTAGTCAGGAGATGAACCCCATGTATGACATCAACAAACTTACCAAATCACTACAGAGTACAGGAGATGTTCAGTGCTCGCAGGACCGACGTTCAAGGTGATTACCAAGGCACTATACCTGCTCTGTCCAAAGAGGTGAAGTGCTCTCCTCCCAGTTCCGTCCACACACATACTCAGCACTCAATTCTATGTCCCAGGCCTCCAGTACGCACCTGTCCCTCTTATCGCCGAAGCCTGCAGCTGCTGCAGTGACCGGATGAGGTCTTCAGACGCTGGGTACCGTATGAGATGATTAGAAATGCGGCTCGATTGCGACATGAGATGAGCCGATGTGGTTTCGCAGCAAGGGTTTCGACCTGGAGCTTACTGTGTTGCTTGGGTATATGCCGAACGATACAGTAGAATTAGATGCTCTGATTCCTTCCTTTATCAAGCGAACTGCCATCTAGCGTTCACTTGCTTTCGGGACACCTAGTTGCAGGTCAGTCACGTCGTGATATCTTGTTAAGCAGGCACCACTCACCAAAGGCGCTACAATAAATGTTCCCACAGCTAGTGCAGCCACAGTAGCCAGCATCTGGAACTTGTTGAAGTCTTTGCCCAAGATATCGAAGCTGAAACTCGGGCTCAGCCTCGTACCAAATATGTCCAGTCCGTAAGCGAAGACTAAGCTGGTGCTCTCAATCAAAGCTGGACTGAGAATTATATCCTTGATTCCCAAAACTTCTCGTCGATGGTTAAGATACCATTTCGGATCGAACTCAATCGTCGGCGCGTACTTGACCAGGCCTTCGGCTTGTTCGTCTTTCGTGGGATCTCTGCCAAAAGGTCGTCGAGGATCAACAATGCCGTAAGGAATACCCACGATTGAGCTGGAGTCAGCTAGTACGGCTAATATCTGTCGAGATGTGATGCCCTGCTTTGTTTGGGTCACGGCGAGTTTGGAGATCGTCTCCGGTATCTGATAGGATTTGGAAAGCACAAATGGCTCCGGCGGAGTCTCCAGAGTGGACGAATTCGTCTTTTCACCGAGTGGTCCTCGATCGTTAGGCACTAGAGACTCGAACATCTCTGCGACGACCAAATAGGTGCCTTTAGGAGTGTCGTCACTAGATTCTGATGTGTATGAGTAGGCAAACCAATTCTCCGACATGATGGTTGGAATTGGTGCGCTCAAGTCCACATCGGTATGCGTGTCGGCATACAGTGTCGCGCCAGATACAGTGTCTAGCACGTAAAACGATGCAGACCGTGATTCATCCAGAGTCGTGACCAGCAATGCCATATTTGGGCTGAGATACTTGTACAATACTCGGCGATCTCCAAGAACCTTTCCAATGGAAGCGACAGGGTCGTTCACTGGCCTAGGCACCAAGCTCAATATACGCTCTCCATTCGGTGGAACGAAGTGCCAGAGCGCGCCCAAAGCTGCACCGCCAACCCTCGTAGCCTCGAGCTCGCTATCTCGAATGGTGAACTGCACACTGCCCAGAGGCAGACTGCTGCCCTTCAGATCCGCGGTTTGAACAACGTCTTCTCCGGTCGATGCGTTGAGCTTTACACCGGGAGAGCTGGGTCCCGACTCAATGACGAGGACTCCGTCAGACGCGGCTTTGAAACTTGGCTTCCAGGATTCTCCAGGTGTCAAGGTCACGGCTTGTTTACTCCAGAGGATTCTGCTGGGGTTCCCAGCATCCAGCGCAATGACTCGGCCATCTTTGGTAGCACATGCGATGACCTTGTGGAAACCGAAAGTGTCACGTGTTAGACCGCTGTCGGCCGTTGTTCCAAAGAGGCCATTCCTGATGCTCTGAGGTAGAGCGCTCAAGACCTGGGGAAGACGCTGCCAATCCAAGACGTGCCGTTTCACCCGGTGGACATATGCTTGAATTGGATTACTGTGAGCTTCGATCTCCAGTTCATGGGCAAAAGCTTCGACCTCTGGAGGCGTTGCAAATGTCGCCGCGACCGTGTTAGCTAAGACTTCCGGCCTCTGCCAAATCGGAGTGCCTTCCCTGACCAAGATCCAGTCACCGGAGGATAGGAAGACTGCCGATCGGAGCGCAGAGACCGAATCGCCTCTCACGGAAACTTCCGAAACGGCATGTATGGGTTCAGTCTCTTCATTTGCGGCGACACTGTAGTCTGAGAGCTGCCATCTGCCCAAAGCGCCATGGGACACGGATGAAACGGTCATGACTTGGCCGCGAGTGATTCTGGTGAAGTAGACGTTTGCGTCAGAGGTGCTTGTCGAGAATGCACCACTCCCACTCGTCTTAGGGAGAGCATATGCCTTTTCAACCTTGTTCTTCTCAACATCGACATGGAACACTTCACCCCAATGTGAGATTTCGGTCTCGTAATGTACGAGGAAATGAGCCCTCGAGTTTGGGTGGGAAGGTGCATGAAGACGAACGCATTTGACGTTGTTGCTGTTGTGCTTGTCGATGTTGAAGGAAGCGACGCTCTTCGAGCCGATGATGTTGACTTTCAAAACCGAGTAGGCCGAATCCGTCCATGCGATGATAGGAGAAGCGGAATTGGCACCGACAGACACAATGGTGTCTGCCGATGTGAGGTCACTATCGGAGCTGAGCGTGTACTCGTCGTTCTTGCGTCCCGTGACAGGGTCCAGGGCAATGACTCTGATCTTGATGTTACCAAGCATAGTCTTGTGCAGAAAAATGCCGAACACCTGGGTGTCTGATGCAGAGACTTGGTAAGGCAGGTCCCCACTTCCTATCGCGTGCATCCACTTGACAGCTCCAGATGATCCGTCTAGACGTTGTATTGCGGAATGATAGCCGCTGCTCATTACAATGGCGTCTTTGACACCCGGGGTCTGGAGACCATCGCTCAACTCGAGGATTTCAAGGTCCTCTATCTGGCCAGAAACGCCTTGGCTCCAGACAAGTCGACCGTCTGCGGCGCTCCATGCTGCCACTTGCTCGCCAATGCCGCTCAAAACGATATCCTGACCATCGGAAGCCCGAAGAAAGCTGGCATTCGAGGAGGTGACGTTGGGCGCCAAGGGCTGACGCCAAAGAAGAGCACCGTCCTTGGGATTGACTGCTCCTAATACGCCACTTTCGGATAGTGTATAGATGAGAGAGGCCCGTGAGTGCGAATTGGGCTGATGGAAGAAAGTCGTGTCTTCCTTTGGCGTGCCCAGAAGCTCGTAGTGGTAGTCCAGGCTGTAAGCCTCATCGGCGAAGACAGCTGCCGCAGTATTTAGCAGCAGCGGTATCACGCTCAGTTGCGCGAGATGCATTATCGTTGCCTTGAATGTACATGCGGTGGATATGGAAGTTTACTACCTGTTAGGAGACGTGAAGCTGGCTGCGGGATGGTCCGCAGCTTAGTCAGGATGTCTGCAACATGCGGGCCAATTGGACTGACTGCATACATTACTCTTTGCAGATGCTCAAAGCGTGATATACCCTGCTACTGAGGAATCCGGGAGGTCGTTGTTTCAATTGAGATGATGGCGCACATGGAATAACGCCGAATTACATTTCCAGTCAGTACCCATCGCAGCGAATTGTCCATCGGCGAATTCGGTTAACAGCAACATTGGGTGTCCGCCGGAGACGTCAGTTGACAGATAAGTAAGTGGATGGCGCTTCGTTCTATCTTCTGCTGTGCTGCTCCTTCACACGGCCTTCGATGACTCTCAAGGGCCCTCCTTGACCCACGCATCTCTCGTCCTTCTGGTCGTTATCTTCGGCTCGACCTTGCTCCGAGCACCTCTGGTGAACGTGAACGTGTCAACGGATCGGCCGAGCCGATCGGCGGGATGCCGTAGCACAGTAGTGTGGTAGGCATTTAAGGTGCACCACCGTCCATGGTGCCGGGTCTTGCAATGCATCGTCTTACCGGCTCGCATCGGGTCCCGCTCTTGGCCATTGCAAGTCTAGTGTGCTAGTGCTCTCGATCATCAACCTCGCATCGCAAGCTGTGACGGAGCCGTGGAGGCATTGTGAATGGTCAGCGGGAAGAACCGCGAATCGCAGGCGCAGCAGGACCATGCCGGCAGAAGGCCAACCACGGATGCTCGGCTTCCGCTTGTCATCATGTGATCACTCGTATGCATAGTGTAACCTGTGTGTGTACTGTAGTGCTCTTCGGTGGTGTTCTGGCACTTGGCTTGGGTGCTGGTGCGAGCAGCGTTGAATCGTGCGAGCGTCTGACAGGCTGGTCCAGGGAATGCCGTGCCCTCTCCCAAATCACCCTAACTCAATAGGTCGCGCGACTCAATCGCGCCGAGAGCTAAGGTACTGCGCCTGCGCCCACGCCCACGCCCACGCCCACATGTCGACTGCTCAACACACACATCACCACCCTCATCATCACCTTCTCATCCTCTTCCGTGTACATACACACTTCCTCGCGCATCTTCCCTCCCCAACACATCCTTTCGTTTCTGCCGTCGCACGCTGCGCTGACCCGCCTCCTCGGCCCTCCCACCACCTACCCTCCCGTACCACTCGTGGACCTTCGTTTACATCTGGCAGCCAGAACTGCAAGCCGCTTCTGAATGGAACTTCCTGTACCACGCGGGTCCGCTCACCGGGAACGCTTCTGGCCAACCTCCTCTGCTCCAGCTGAACGTAATTACGGGGGAGCGCCCGCCTCTTCGCACTCGACCATCGCCTGAGAAGACAGAGAAAAAGAGCTTCGTCTTTGCGCCAAGGCCATTGGCACACTAGAGCTACGCTGATGCGTCATGTCACGATCGGCCTACCAGCGAGAGTACCACATTGCCGTGCTGGGCTCTGGTGGGGTGGGGAAAAGCTGTCTTACCAGTACGATCGAGGCGAGCTCTTGCGATTGCGCCATCGACTGACACCAGCAGTGCAATTCGTCCAGGGAGTATTCGTGGAGCGATATGACCCGACCATCGAGGACTCCTACCGGAAACATCTGGATGTGGATGTATGGGGAAATCTGTACAATCGCTGCTGTTCACGAGCAACTGGCTGAAATGGCACACAGGGTAGACATGTCGTTCTCGAAATCATGGACACCGCTGGCACGGAACAGTTCAGTAAGTCTTGGACGCATACACGATCAATCCGTCTCGAGTGTGGGACAAAGCTGACTCCCGTCTCAAAGCTGCAATGAGGTACCTTGCCTGCGACCGATCTTCTCTCCACTCTCCCCTCTAACCCACCACGCAGAGACATGTACATGCGCCTCGGTCAAGGCTTCCTCCTCGTCTTCAGCATAACATCCGCCTCCTCCCTCCGCGAACTCATCGAACTCCGCGACCAGATCGTGCGAACCAAAGGCGACCAGACATTCCCCATGGTGCTGGTCGGAAACAAATCCGACCTGGAAGAAGAGCGCGCGGTATCCAGAGCAAAGGCATTCCAACTCTCGCAGAGTTGGGGCAATATCCCATATTACGAAACAAGCGCGAGACGGGCGACGAATATCAATGAAGTTTTTACGGATGTCTGCAGGCAGATTATAAGAAAGGAACTCGCGAAGGCGCGGCCGGAGGAAGTGGAACGGAGGAAGAAGAAGAGAAGGCGGAGGGATGACAGAGGTGGTAGACACCATGACGATCGTGGCGGAGGGCCGAAATGTGTCATTCTGTGATAGAGAAGAAAAACCCGCATCTTACGCATTCTCCGCGCATGGCATTGTGTGGAAGTTTTCTCTCTTGCGGTATGGATGGGTGTGAACTCACTGATTGATGTCGCAGGCTTTAGCAAGATCGTGGACCAATCAATCATCAGACTTGAGACACGAGATGCCTCAACTACTGCTGCTGGGGACTGGCGCGCGTCGAATGTGGCCCTTGAAGCTTCTACGAATCTCGTGGGACGTCTAACCTATATACAGCCGCTGGCACGCACGGTCTTGGTAAGGCACTTGAGACCACAACCTCGTCTTCCGTACTGACAGATCGCGAATGGACCTGGAGCAGGGCAGTCCGTTCCGTCGCAGCATCGTTTGTGCTACCAACAATCATCATCTAAACTACTTGTTGTATATCCCATTTAACAAGCTTCTCATTCTGTCCGGTCTCTCTTTCAGCAAAACCCAAACCAAACCCAAACTCAAAACGAAAACCACTCACCTTATTAGCACCGAGAGAAGAAGAAGGAGAGAGAGAACCTCTCACAACCATCTGTCTGTTTTCTAAAAAAAAAAAAAAAAAAAAAAAAAAAAAGCCATTCATTTCTCCGTCCGATTTTGTGCCGGATCTCCCTCTCTCTCTCTCTCTCAAAAAAAAAAAAGGCAAGCAAAGAAGCAAGCAAGGGAAATTCGCCGTTTTCGGAAGATCCTTCCCCGGAAGTCAAAAACAACCTCAGGGTTGGCAAGCAGCTCTTTCGGGGGCTAGATAGATAGATAGATAGATAGATAGATAGACCTTTTCTGGAGTTCGATCGCTGGGGACGCATTTCCTCTCTCAATTAGGTATGGCTGGCTGGCTGGCTGGCTGCATCTCGCCGTCAAGAAGAAGAAGAAGAAGAAGAAGAAGAAGAAGAAGAAGAAGAAGAAGAAGAAGAAGAAGAAGAAGAAGAAGAAGAAGAAGAAGAAGAAGAAGAAGAAGAAGAAGAAGAAGAAGAAGAAGAAGAAGAAGAAGAAGAAGAAGAAGAAGAAGAAGAAGAAGAAGAAGAAGAAGAAGAAGAAGAAGAAGAAGAAGAAGAAGAAGAAGAAGAAGAAGAAGAAGAAGAAGAAGAAGAAGAAGAAGAAGAAGAAGAAGAAGAAGAAGAAGAAGAAGAAGAAGAAGAAGAAGAAGAAGAAGAAGAAGAAGAAGAAGAAGAAGAAGAGTTTTTATCCAGATGGAAGGATCGATATATGTGGGAGATTGCTTTTCGCGGTCGATTCTCTGGCTAATAGATAGACGGTGCATCACCGACAAAGAGGGACGGATTCCAGACAGTAGTAGCTCTGAACGCGGGTTGGTGCCGCATGTGTGTATATATGTGTATATATGTATATATCCGGTGTTTTCTTATATTATTGTTCTTAGGTCTCTTATTAGCTCTGATAATTCAGTTTTTGCAAAAACACCCGTTTTCGGCCGCCAAGGCGTTGCACGAGATAGATACCCATGGGGAACACGATGGGATTCGATAATGTGTGCGTTCGTCCACAGATACGTTCACTCGCGCACACATGGAATCGATTCTTCGTTCCTGACTGACTGCCCAAAGGCCAATGTTTCGGAGAAGGATGCTTGCTTCTATGGAGGTGGAAGGGGAATGACATAGGATCAGGATTGTGAGCCTAGATAGATAGAAGGCGGCGGCGAGAGACGATGGATGATGTGCTCTGACAGGGGAGTTGTGCATTTGTTAGCGGGTTGTATGTAATGTACACGGAGTAGGGAGCCCAAGGGAAAGGATGTGCCTTTGTGTGTGTGTAGACGGGAGGCGGAGCGGTGCGGAGCAGGGACTTTGTCTGGTGATAGAGGAAGAATAATATAGTGGCAGAAGTTGAGGGAAGAAATACGACAATTTTTCGGTTGGCATCGCGAAGTCTTGGTGCTTTTGGGGGGGTATACGCCGACGAACGTGGGAGGCAGGTTGCGATTTCGCCCACTAGAGGTGGAGAAGATAGTAGCGACGTACGCCAATTCTGTCGAGATCCGTGAGCAGTGTGGAGTGAGTGAATGAAAGATCACGAGACGGTGGCATTCCGCTCGACGGGCAATCTGTGTTCGAGAAGACGCATCTCTCCTTGCAATGGAGATGGCATGCTCGATCTTGATGGATCTGATCTAGCGCCTGTTGGTGTCGATCAAAGCGGGCCATGCGTGGCATGTAAATGTGGCTGAGGTCATAAGCTGCAAGGGGGCAGGCAGGAGGGTCAAAGGAGATGATGGTAAGCATGCTTGCATGAATGAAATGAGGCTGCGTACCCAGATGTTGGCAATGAGGCGATGCCAGTGAGGCGAAACAACGGGGCGTCAGGTGTGAGCAGTCAAGCCATCTCTGCCCATGTTGAAGCATTCGCGGCTTTCTTGCTCCTGAAAGGGATCTCCAAAGGCTTCAGTGGCGCGGGACTTGTGACTTGAGCCTCGTCCAGGGGGTAGCAGTCTAGGCAGCGTTCGGTCCAAAGTAGCAGTGCGCGTTCATGTCGAGGAGGGAGTGCAGTCGACTAGTGTACCGTGGATTCGGAGCGTGCGTGCGAGCTGCCATGGACTTGGGTCGTCGTCGACAGGTGCCAGGCGCAATGGCCATGTGAGTCCGATCGGGCGGGTAAGCGCATGCCTTTGTCCCATCACCCTTGAGCAGCCGGCAGAGCGCCACTGGAGTACGCTCCTGTGTTTTGCCGTGGTGAGGCTGTACCCCGCGGAAGCAATGGTCGTCTTCCAGAGGGCCCGAACAGAAGGTCACAGCATGGGCGAGGCGTGTAACGTGTGATGAGGATTTCTGTAGGTACCTGCGTCACGCGGATGTCTTCCGGCAAGGCACAGCGTGTGCCTGCCAGTCAAGCCAGTGTCGACCGTGATGTAACGAGGCGAAGGAAGCATTACCTTACGTCCTCCTCTCGCCCTCCCTTTCCATGCCGGTGATGGTCTGTCTCGTCCAGATGGTGTGCAGCCCGCATCGCATCGGAGTGGCCGCTGCGTAATGACGGCCGTCTCCATCGAGGGGGAATTTCCGAGGCTCTCTCGTGTGGCAGGCGTGGCCAGGGGGAGTAGCAAGTCGAATAATGGGCTGCACTGGACTGCATGGAGGCGCGCGGGCACTGATGTCGCATCCCTGCTGTGTGTGCTGCGACGGCGGCTCACGTCCAAGCACTCGCACGTCGACAGCCATACGCACGCGCCGACAGCCACAACTCCCGAGAGAATCTGACCAGTCGACGAGAGGCTAATGCATCACGGATCCATGACTGATCAATCGCGGCTAGGATCTTGGAACGGCGGTGCGCGATCTGGGTGCGTCCAGATGAAGGGAGATGACTGGATCGCCTGTATGCAGGAGACTGCGGCTGCCCGAAGGGGAAAACGGAACGGAGGGAGACGACGACGTGCGAAGGAGGCATGGAATAATTCAAGGCGATACATGTAATTCAAGGCAACTGAAGCCTTGTAGAAGCACTGGACAAGCACTGCACGATCCTCTCCTTCAGATTCATCACCAACGAAGCTAACGGTGTCTCCGACGTTTGATATCGTGCCCCCTCTCTCTCTCTCTGTCCTCGTTGAGATGGATGGATGGATCGATGGATGGATCGATAGATGGATGGGTGGATGGGCGGCGATGCTCGGTCCGTCATTATTCGTGGGTAAGGTATTCTTGGGTAGGCGGCACCGGCACCTCCAACGCCTCACTTGCAAGCCAGCCGCGAGTCGGGACCAAAGCGAACAGTCTGGTCGCACTCGGCATGCCGACACTGACGATTCCAATCAGCTCAGCTCATCATCATGAACACAACAACCCAGCTGGACAGGCGTCTCAGCAGAGAAGGAAGGCAGCAGGGATCACGAGCAGGGCATTCCAGGTCCATGGCGCTGGTACCTCTTACGAATTGGTCCTTGGGAACATCGCCGCGGCCAGATCGCAGCGTCCAGATTGCGGATGATGGACCGATTCGTCCATCGCATCTCTGCCCAAGTGCGGTGACACGGAGCGGAGCCATGGTCGGCGGGAGGCCTCCCCCCCCCACCCCCTGGACCGCCATCATCTCAGCGCTTGTCGTGCTGTCTACGTTGGACACTCTTGACGCCTGACTAGGCCGCATATCGCATATGCAGAAGCCATCTCCACGAGCAGCCTCCTGTGCTTCGCCCAATCCAGCATGTAGGGCGGTCGGTTCGTGCGGTTGCAACGACGAGAACGGCCGACTCTGACGTCTTTGCACACTCGCCCTCATCTTTCAGACCTGCCGCAGCATGACGACGACGACCGGCACTCGATATCGATTCTCAGCACTGCCCATTCGAGCCTGCGTCAAAGAGAATCCTTCCGAGGCGGACGAAGTCCACGGCGTGTGGTATATAATCCGCCTCCCGCGATTCTGGTAGCTCCCACATTCGGTCCCAACCTTCTTCTCCACCATCCACGACCAACCCGCCGTCATCATCACCACCTCACCCTCTCTCGACACATCCCGGGCGCCAGAGTCGAGCAGTTTCAAGTGGCGACACCAACCTGCTGCGTACGTTCTCGCCATCGCAGCATCGCAGACGGCCTTCGTGCCCAATGGCGCGGGCTGGTGAAACTCTCGATACAGCGTGCTAACACCTGCGCAGGCAACTCATTGGACAGACACACCTCACCTCCTCGCATAGCGCTCCCGCTGAAACGTCTTCTGTCGAAGAACTCCCGTCTCCGTAACACAAGCAACCACCCGTTCCCGCCATGTCGGACTCCACCCAGAAATCCTATCTCCGGGACGGCTGTGGTCCTCGTGCTGTCGACGCCGGCCACGGCCGCGAGAAGGGCCGGGGAGAAAGCCGACGACAACGTGAGGGCGACGACAGCGGCAAGCAACGATCGAAGCACACCTCTTCTCGCAGACCCTCGAAATCAGACTCCAGCCACCGGAGGCGAGAATCTTCAGGTTCATATGCGACAAGCAACATCCCTGAACGACCCTCTTTCGAGCTGGACGTCATTGGCCAACCGCAGCGTAGCATCGTCTTTGGCGCAACCGTCGAGACCTCCGTCATGGTCAGCCTCAAGTGTCCGTCGCCGGACGCGGTTGCCCAATACAGCAACATGGACACCTCACGGCTGATGGCCGTCGTCTCACTGGTCGCGGATACTCGCAGCGGGGAGAGGATGCAGCTCGAGAACGGCACCCTGACTGGCCAGAAGATGTTCGACTCTGTACACCCTATCCCGGAGTCCGTTGCAGATAGCCTCGCGCGCAGCCAAGCATGCCGGCTCGCCCTCGGATACGTCTCCTTCCCAAGCCTGTTAATACGACAACCGGGAACCTATCGCCTTCGGGTTACCCTCATCAAGATGGGCAGCTCCAGCTCATCGTCCGGCGGCGCCAGCGTTGCCTGCACCGACAGTGAATCCATCAAAGTCGAACGTCGCGCATCGGGATCGTCGAATCCTCGCAAGCACCGAGAGGGTGAGCGGGACGACGAGTAGGAACCGTGTGGAACGTTGGGTAACACTCTTGCCTTCCTTTTTACTTGCCTCTGTACACTGCGAACCAAAAAAACGAGGAAATTTGGTCTTGCGCGAAAGCTTTCTTGGCGTGGCGTGTGGTGCTTGGGGCTTGGGGGAAAGATTGTCTGTATAATTTTGGGAAGGGAAAAAAGTAAACTTGGGCTCTGTTGGCGGTGGCGTGGGAGGTCTTTTTGCTTTTTCGATTGTCGGAATACTGCGAGCCGCCTCCAGCATCTGTTTTTTTCACCCTTGTACCACTGAGGTGTTGGGGACGATATAGTCTTTTCTCTAGTTCTCCGCATGGTCGCGGCGGCGCTGCTATCTAGGCCATTGAATGGTGTGGTGTATATGTCTCAATTTTCAAAAGACATCGTGGAAAAAGACATTTTTGGAAGCTTCTCTCTCTCTCTCTCTCTCTCTCTCTCTCCTGGTTCTTTATGACTTAACCTATCTAACTCCCTCCACCTCGCGGACTGCTTTTTCTCTATAAGATCAACGAAACGGAAAA